CAAGTCACTTAACCCTTAGTTGCCTCATCTGTAAAATGAGCTAGAGAAGGAAATGGCAAACCACTCTAGTGTCTTTGCCAAGAAAACCCCAAATGGGGTCATGAAGAGTCTCTGCCCTGATCAGACTTCATCTGGGGTTTTCACTTCATACCTTTTGGAAAGGATATTGAAAAGCCTCAAAGTTATCCCATATGATGATCACCTGAAGGAATTAGGGATATTTAGCCTAGAGAAAGCCCAAGGGACACATAATAACTTTCTTCTAGAACTGAAAAAAACTGTCATGTGGAAGAAGTTAGACCTGAGGCAGCACGCCAGTGAGGAAAGAAGACTGGATTTCGAGTCAGAAGACCTGGGTTTAAATTCTGCTTTTGTCATTCACAACCTGTGCGACCTTACTTTACCTCTCTGGGCCTCAGTGTCTTCATCTGCAAAATGAAGGTTGCTCAGTTCTGTCTGACTTTTCGTGATTCCATTTGAGATTTTCTTGGCTCTTTGATGCTGGAGTGGTTTACCATTTCCTTCTCTAACTTATTTTGCAGATGAGGAAACTGAGGCAATCAGGGTTAAGTGATTGCACAAGGTCACACAGCTTGTAAGCATCTGAGGCCAGTTTGAACTCAAGATCAGTCTTCCTGGTTCCCAGCCTAGCACTCTACCCACTGCACCACCTAGCTGTACAAACTAAGGACTTGGAATCAATGGCAACTGAGACCCCTTCCAATCTGAGATCTATGATCCTACAACCCAGAGGGCACAATGAGAAGCAGTGAGTAGAACCCTACAGAGCAAACTTTGCCCCGAAGCTCGGGATGGTACATTTTCCACACTGGAAGTGGGCCCCTACCTTAACAAAGAGTTTAAAACTCAAGTAATGGCTGGGATTGAGCAAACAAAGGCGCAAAAAAAGTCAGACCATAGAATCCTTCTTTGGTAACAAAGATCAAAATATACAACCAGAAGAAGACGACAAAGTCAAAGCTCCTACATCCAAAGCCTCCAAGAAAAATATGAATCAGGGGCAAACTTTGGAAAAACTCCATAACAAGTAGAGCTCTCCCCAAGTGGAATGAGTTGCCTCAGACAAGAAGTGTTGGGGTCCCCCCTTACTGGGGGATCTTCAGGCAAGGCCTGGTGGCTGATTGTCAGATGAATTGAAGAGGGGATTCTTGTTCAGTTAGGGTTTGGGCTGGATGGTCTCTGAGGCCCCTTCCAACTCTAAGTCTGTGTTCTGTGAAATATAAACAGAAGTCTAATTTATGCACTGGCTAATTATTCTCTGGTTTAAATACCCATATATTTCATTTTGTAAAAAGGAAAAGTGATTTGTTCAGTCAATCGGGGACACAAAATCTGTGATACAAGAGCATAATTAAATGGCCCTTTAATTTTTATTTTTTAGTCAAAGGAAGACGTTGACTTAATAACATGCAACTTAATAACATGTAGATTAGCCCTAAGGCTAACTCCAGTAAATGATTTTCCTTGTCTAGGGAAGTGAGCTGGTTCACTAGGAATAGGAAATGAAATAAGGAAGATTAAAGATCATACTACTGATGACTGATTTCTATACCAAAGGCAGTCAAGCTGCTGAGATTATATAATGTCATGTGTGATTATTCACTTCAACAAATGTTTTTAAGAGCCTACCATCTGCAAAAGATTGTGTTAGGCACTAGGGATACAAAAATGGAAAAAGATTGCATAATCCTTGCCCTCACAGAGCTTATGATATTGTAAGAGTGAGACATGGATACAAATTAGGAAATTAGGATACATTAATTAGCAAATGAAAAACTCTAAGGAAGAAGAAAAACAGAATCACATTAAACTTTCAAGGAAAGGGGAATTTGGGAAGGCTTTCTAGAGTGAATGACACCTGAGCTGGGCTTTGAAAGGAGGAAAGGATTTTGGTAAGTAGAGATGGGGCTGAGGAAGCAAAAGGAAGGATTTTCTTTCAGGAATGAAGGTGCCCATGCACAGAGGTAGGAGAAGGTCAATGTAGTACATTTTTTTTTTTCTGGAGCATGAAGGGCACTAGTGAAAATAAATAAGAATTTTAAAGTCGTTTAAAGTGCCTTACATTTATTGTTGGATTATCTCATTTGGTCCTTGGAATAGGTTGGTGAGATAGATATTACAGTTGTCATCATTGCCCTTTTACAGATGGGAACACTGAGGCTCGGGAAAGTTGAGTGACTTGCCCATTGCTACACAGCTAATAAGAACTAGCGGCAGGGTTTGAATCTAGTTCTGTCCCAACTACAATCCAGACCTCTTTCTTCTGCCCCAAAGTTTTTAATCTGGGATCTGTGACCTTGTTTTAAAAAATATTTTGATAACTATTTCAATGTGATTGATTTCCAGTGTAATACTATGCATTTTATTTGTCGTCATTCAGTTATTTCAGTAGTGTCCAACTCGTCATGACCTCATTGTAAGTTTTCTTGGCAAAGATCCTGGAGTGGTTTGTCATTTCCTTCTCCAGATGATGAAACTAAGGCAAACAGGGTTAAGTGACTTGCCCAGGGTCACATGGCTAGTAAGTGTCTGAGGCTGGATTTGAACTCAGGTTCTCTCAACTCCAGGGCCAGCTATCCTCTGCACCACCTAGCTGCCCTCCGAATTTTATTACTATATTTAAAAACCTGATGCTGAGAAGAGGTCCGGGGATGTCACCTGACTGCCCTAAGGGTCCATAATACAAAAAAAAGGTTTAGATGCCCTGTACCATGCTGCTTTTTCTCTATGCTCACCATTCCTGTGAGCCCCCAAACTAAACCTTCCTCACCTTTATTAGAATATAAACTCCCTGAAGGCAAGGATTGTCTCACTTTTGTGTTTTTAATCCCCAGTGCCTAATCTAATTATTTTACAAAAGAGGAGAAACTGAGACCCCAGAGATATTAAGGCCCTTCAAGATCACATCATGAGTAAGTGACAGAACGAGGGTTAAAACCTCGGTCCTCTGCCTCCAAATCCGGGACCCTTTCCACTGTACATACCAGACTGCTTCCCATTCTTGGGAAAGAGGAATATGACGAAATAAGTCTGAAAAGAGTGTGAAGAGAAATGCCCAAATGTAAAGAACAAGATTACCTAATTTGCTATTATTACCCTGGGCTAGCAGCCAAGTAAGTCTCTCTTTAAAAGAGGATTAACGTGAGAAAACTGTTGAAATACAGGTGATGATATTTTAAAAATGTATGGACATAAGGGCTTTAATGAGCTTTACATTATACCTAGTGTTCATTAGATACTTACCAGCATGTTAATATTATTGTTAGCAATCACACCCTGCATTTGTATGAGTTTTTTAATTTTTCAAACTGTTTAATATGCCTGTTATCTTAGTTTTGCTTTATAACATTCAGATGAAAAAGATAGGGGAGTTACTATCCCACCTCCCACCCCCCAAAAAACTCAAACTTGGATATAAAGAAACTGAAGCACAGAGAGGTTAAGTGAACTCCTTATGGTTGCCCAGCTGTGTCTAGAACCAAGTTTCCTGACTTTCACTCCTGGGTTCTTTCCACTGGGCCATCCATAATAGTAGAATTTTAAAGTTTTAGTTTTGCACAGTGAAATAAATCACATGACTGAGAGGAGAGGTCCTCATTATCACCAAAGATAATTAGTTCCTAAATTCATCATACGCTTGTTATTTAGTCATTATCAGTCATGTCCAACTCTCCATCCCTTTTGGGATTTTCTTGGGAAAGATACTGGAATGGTTTTCCATTTCCTTCTTCAACTCATTTGACAGATGAGGAAACTGAGGCAAACAGGGTGAAGTGACTTGCCCAGAGTCACACTGCTAGGTAGTGTTTGAGGCCATATTTGAACTCAGGTCCTCCTGAGTCCAGGGCTGCCTATCATATACAGTTCTGAATAAATCACTTTAAAAGGGCAGGTCTTGGGGGCAGCTAGGTGGCACAGTGGAAAGAGCACCAGCCCTGGATTCAGGAGGACCTAAGATCAAATATGGCCTCAGGCACATAACATTTACTAGCTGTGTGTCCCTGGGCAAGTCACTTAATCCCGTTGCCTAGACCCCCCCCCCAAAAAAAAAGAGGGCAGGTCTTTGTCTTCCAGGAGCTTATAGAAGATGTCTGTGTGAACAGTGTAGACAGGATATAGCTAACCCTATACACAACAATAACCACCCAAAGAAATGTTTATAAAGCACACACATGGCATCTTAGTACAGGAAGAAGATTGGAAGTCAGAAGACTCGGGTCTAGGCCAAGATCAGCCAAAGCAGTCCTGTGGCAGAAGCTACTCCCACTCGTGAAACCCCAGTTTCCTCATTTGCAAAATGAAGTTGAATTAGATGATGTTAGTGACTCTCTTATGGTTTTGTTTTTGTTGGTTTGTTTGGTTTGGTTTTGCAGTCCTTGGGGGGGGGTGGAAAACGGGGAATGTTAAAATCAGGGTAAAATGGAGAAGGCTATTGAAAAAGAAGTCAGAATGAGTATAGAAGGCAAGACCTTATCAATAATGGCTTTTAAAGAAAGAGAAGATAAGCTGGTTTGGGCTTTCTAAGAGGTGTGAGAAACAGGATATCTAAGAAGAGAGTTGAAAAGGAGTGATTTCCCTGGGTTTCTTGATTAGCATAGCCCTTCAAGGAAGTAGGTGATGCCCTGGCGGAAATGAATACTTCCACCAAAGCCTGTGGGAAACAATGGGCTAATTTTTTCTCTTAAAGGCAGGGGGAAGTGGTTCATAATCCTTTCTAAAGATGGCTAAGATTAATGTCTGCTAATAGCAGTGCCATGGACTGATATCACTTCAGTTCCATCCACTTGCCACACGAGAATCCGTCTTGTTCATTCCTGAGTCAAGCCTCACTATTTGGAATATCTGGGGCAGGCCCTGGACAGATGCATCTGATGTTGTGGCAGCCTTCTTGGTCATGATACCATACAGAGCTATTTGTCCTGACCTTGTGTTCATTTATTTTCTTTTCCTCTCTCTTTATCTCCCACCTCTCCCGACAGGCTGATGAGTTCTGAAAACACGCTCTTGCAGCCGAGGGAGGAGGAAGGCATCAAGTATGAGCGGACCTTCATGGCCTCCGAGCTCCTCGATTGGCTGGTTCAGGAAGGAGAGGCCACCACCAGGAATGAAGCCGAGCAACTTTGTCACAGGCTTCTGGAGCATGGTATCATCCAGCACGGTGAGGAATTCACTGTGAATTTACAAAGGCTCCTTCTTAGCAGGTGCCCCAAAACCTTTTGAGTGGTATCTGGGGGGCTTGAGAGAGAAGAGGGAACCAGTTGGTGAGAGGCAGATTGCTAAGTCAGTGGAGGGACCAAAATTGATCATGATCCCTGTGACTGTTCCTGCTGTGGATCCCCCACTTCCCCCACCTCCCACCCTAATTTATGATTTCCATCTTATTTTTAGAGTTCTACAATATTTAAAAAAATTTAGAGCTAGAAGGAAACACATCACTCATTCAGTCGTTACTTATTGAGTGGCCATGTTGTGCAAGGTACTCACTGTTTTAGGCATGAGTAAGAGGAACTTACAAAATATTTCAGATTCTTAAGAGAAGGGGATAAAATCAAGCAACAAGAATCAATTGAGTCCTACTATGTGCCAGGTAATATAGTCTCTACTATCAACGAGTGTACATTCTATGACAAATATACAAGTATAAGTTTGTAAAAAATACATAAAAAACATAGAACAATGTGGGGTAGAGAATAGAAAGCTGGCTGCATAGTTCTAAATAAATATTTATTAGACACTTATTAGGCAGTTACTATGTGCTAGGCACTCTGCTAATTGGTGTCTACAAAGACAAAAATGAATAGTCCCTCCCTTCTAGGAATTTAACATTCTATAGGGGAAAACTATGTGTGTGTGTATATATGCATATATAGGTGTATATGCATATATTTGTATATATGTATGTATGTATGTATTTGTATTTATATATACAGATGCGTAACCACACATATACCTACATGTACATTTTGTCATTGTTCAGTCATTTTTCATTTGTATCCAACTCTTCATGACCTCATTTGGGGTTTTCTTGGCAAAGATACTGGAATGGTTTGCCATTCCTTTTTCCAGTTCATTTTACAGAGATGAGGAAACTAAGCCAAACAGGGTGATGGGACTTGCCCAGGTTCACACAGCTAGTAAGTGTCAGAGATTAGATTTGAACTCAGGAAGAGGAGTCTTCTTCACTCCAGGCCCAGCACTCTATCCACTGTGCCACCTGGTGACCCAACATATATACATACATACATAACATACCCACACATACACACACACACACACACACACACACACACACACACACAAATTATGGAAAATATACAAGAGGTAGTGTAGCCTAATGGATGGAGAGCCAGTCTAAGATTCAGGAAAACCTGGAAATCAACTTGCCTTTTAACACATACTGGGTGTGTGACCCTGGGCAAAATGATTTTATCTCCCAATACCTCAGGCAACCCTCTAAGACTATACATTCTGAACTTCATTGGTGGAGGGAGTCTCCTTACTGGAAACTCCCTACACCAGTGAAATCACAGATCTGACAAAAAAAAATACAAGGTAATTTTGAAGTTGAGGTAAGTTGTGAGGCTTGAATTGAGCTTTGAGAGAAACTGATTATTAACTATATAATACAAGGTAGACTCTAAAGTGTAGTAAGAGAGGAAATATCAAGTGATACACAAGTTCAGGGGAGAGAGAAAAGTCACTTCCAATACTCCCATTTTACAGATGAAAAACCACAAGTCATGGATTTAGAGCTGGATGAGACCTTTGAAGCTTTTGGGTCTATCTCCCTTATTTTACAAATGAAGCTGAGAGAGGTTAAGTGATTTGTCCAGAGTCATACAGCTAGTGAAGATTTGAATACAGGTGTTCTCAACTCCCAGGCCAGCACTCTGTCTCCTGTACCACTTAGCTGCCAAGATTCAGAGAGACTCAGAAATTTCTCCAAAGCAAAACTGTTGGTGGCAAAGTCCATGCCAAGAACCAGATCATGTTTCCTCTGTTAGCCTATGCTGCTGCATGGGTTAACTATCCCCAGGCTATATTGTTTCTGTGGTACCTCTCTGTCAAGGCCCACCTTCCACCTTAACTCGACCGGGGAAGGCAGGCAAGCCACCCTCTCTCCTGATACCATAATAAGACCAACCTATTTGTCACTGCCCCTTCCCCTCTCCTCCATATCTACATTCATACTGTTCCTATGCCACCCCCATCCCCAGCTAAATTTCCAAATGGGATCCAGCTCAACTTTTTTCCTCCTATTCAATTTCAGACCTCAGCTTCTTATCCTTTTGCAGTGCCTATCCAATCTTTCTCCCTCTCCCTCTCATCTGTCTCACACTCCCTCCCCCCTTTTCCTCTCCCTGTCCTTCTCTCTCCCTCCCTTCTCCCCCCCCCCCCGGCCACTTTTCAGCTACTAGCACAATGTTATCCTGAAATATAGGAACATCTGGGGGGAAAAAACATCAATATGGAACCCTTTGTTTGTTGGACTCTGTGCAAGGCATTTTCTATGGCACTGAACACTATATAAACATACTTACACATGAGAGCTAAAGAAAGTGAATATTAGTTTATGTCCTTAGTAAGGAAGAAGAGTTAGGAAAGTATTTAATTGTTCTTCCGTTTGTGTTTCAGTTTCAAAGGTGAAATGATAGCTTAGGTTTAGCTTTATGCCTTGATCAAAGGTATTTCCCTATGGAAATGTTGAAGAATTTGGCTCCCCAGTGTGTTGGGGGTGGAAAATCCATACCTTGTGATATCCTCACCAGTTTTATTCATTAATGGCTACTGACAGCCTGTAATTATGGCTGCATTTATTAGATAAGGGAACAATTAACTTGTTTGAAGTATAAGCAATTAACCAGACACTGATATTCTGGACATATAAAACACATACTTGGCCAAGTATAAAGTGAAAATTGATACTAAATGTTAGTCACAGTAGGTAGGTAGGAAAAAGAAAAATAATTAAGGAATCTTCAGCTTTTATGGCCTGAACTCCCTCTGTCTTAAAATACAAAAATATAAAAATTGACAGCCCATAATTTTTTTTAACAAGGTTATCCTTGTCCCAGAATGAACTGGAATATCTGTCATCTTTATTACCTCACCTCACCAGGGGCAAATCTATGCCAACTATCTATCTATTTACTCATATATCACCGTTCCCCTCCTTCTCCTGGCTTTCTTCTCCATAAAAGGAGGGGCTGGCAGAAATGAATAATTGCTAGGGTAGATTGCTCTCAGCTGTAGTTGCTAACAGAGTAACCGAGGGTCTATAGCCTCTGTAGCCAGAAGCACGATTTCCCCATTCTAGGCTTGATTAGAGCAGCTGGGTGATAGAACCTGCTTTAAAACAGTCTTAGTTATGAGAGTGTGACAGAATGAGGCACCCCACCCAAGGCAGCCCCTTTGAGGGCATCATTAAGGAAGCTCTCCTCCTGTAATCAAGATATAACAGGAACAACAGCCCAGATACAAGGGTGGGGTAGGATTAGATGGAGTGGGGTGGAGTTCTTCCAGCTTCATTCCTCAGGGATCATCCCTTCTTCCTACATTGTCTTCTCAGGCAAAACACTTCCCCCTGTGTCAGTATTGCACATCCAAGAGGCCCTTGGAGGGATAACTCATCTTTTCTACAGTGTGATAAATCCTGCATGTACAAACTCTATATAAGCACCTGGCCTCTTGTTCTTTGGTTAGCTTGGCACGGGCTTGTGGCATTAAATAGTTTCAGCAATTTATTTTTGTTCTTACAGGCAAGAGGGTCTTTTCTGGACCCTTGGGGATGTGTCCTTTTACACTAGTCCATCCCCCTTCCAGCACTAGGCCTAAGCTGAACTCTCCATAACAATAGCACATCTGTATTTTCATTATAGGTTAGTTCTCTCACAGTGTAACCAGATTGAATACCTCAAAATCCATTTGTAATATTTGAAGCTGGTATTTTGTTTTTATCTCATTGGGTCACTTTTGACTCCACCTGTTTGTCTACCGCTGACTTGCTATTATCCAAAATAGCAGAGTCATAACTAAGGTAGAGTGATCAGGGCTTTGTCTCAGCATGCCAACTATAGAGTAACAGCATGTCCACCTTTAGCAGCAGAGAAATAATTGAGATTAGCAACTAGTTAACAAAACTAGTTATGCCCGGTACATGATCGACACTTAATAGAGGCTTATTGACTATGTCAATTGAAAGAAGAAACTGCTAGATAGCATGCTTCTTCATCCCATGGTTAAGCTGCAGATCAGCTATTGTTTGGACTGGCCCCTTGAGTAAAATATCACTAGCAGCATGGACTCCATCCTCAGGGGCTGATGTTCCAGGGTCTTTGCCCCCATGACTGTGTCTCAGGGTCACTCTGTGACACTTCACTTTCCTCTATTTAGCTGAATTTATCTTAAGTTTTTGGGAAGCTAAAATTCATACCATTGTTTGCATGTTGCCTGCCCCATTAGATTGTAAGCCCCTTGAGGGCAGGGACTGCCTTTTGCCTCTTCTTGTTTCCCTAGCACTTAGCACAGTGCCCAGCACATAGTAGGCACATAACAAATGTTTACTGGTTGATATTGATTGATGTCACTTGTCCCAGGTACAAAAATTGCTAGTAACAGTTCTGCAGATCACCAGAAAGGTAGAAAATGTTGTGAATGCTTATGGAAATATTTGCCCTTCAAAATGTGAAAGAGGACAAGTCAGGAATACATGAAGTGGGCAATATTTGAGTACTTGTAGAGCTGGTGGCTACCTGGCTTAAGGAAAGGCTGCTAACATCTTAAACAGTTGAGCAAAGATTACGTAGAAGAAGCCCAGGGCATGAGTTGCCTTCTCTGAAATGCATTTTCTTTAAAAAAATTTTTTTTCATATAAATTTATTTATTTTTAGTTTTCAACATTCACTTCCACAAGATTTTGTGTTCCAAATTTTCACCCCATCTCGCCCCTCCCCTCACCCGAAGATAGCATGCATTCTGAATACCCCTTCCCCTAGTCTGCCTTCCCTTCTCTCTTTCCCCCCTTCTCTTATCCCCTGCCCCTTCTATTTTCCTGTAGGGCAGGATAGATTTCTGTGCCCCCTTTCCTGTATTTCTTCCTTCCCAGTTGCATGTGAAAACATTTTTTTTAGACATATGTTTTTAAAACTTTGGTTCCAA